TTCATCTTCTATCTTGTTTATACCACTATTATTTTGGAATTTTTTCTGTTACATGCAGCCTAATTGATTCTAATACATCGAGGCAGATGTAAATGAGAGTCCAGAAATCCTATGGCTGCCCTTTAGCTATAAGGTGACCATGCAGATGGATGATACAGAATAGGCTTCTATTATTCGGTTTAGACATTAATTGTGATAAAAACACAATTTTAACTGGTGCAGCCATTATGGAAAGCAGTACAGGCATTCCTCAAAAAAATTGAAAATAGAACTACCATATGATCCAGCAATCCTATTACTGGGTATAAACCCAAAGTAAATGAAATATGTATATTGAAGAGATATCTGCACTCCTATGTTCTTTGTAGCATTATTCACAATAGCCAAGATATGGAATCAACCTAAGTGACCATCAACAGATTAATAAAGACATTGGAATAGCAAACCAAATACTGCATGTTCTCACTTATAATTGGGAGCTAAATGATGAGAACACATGGACACATAGAAGGGAACAACACACACTGGGGCTTTTCAGAGGGTGGAGGGTTGGAGGAGGGAGAGGATTAGAAAAATAACTAATGGGTATCAGGCTTAACAACTGGGTGACAAAATAATCTGTATGACAAACTCCCAAACCCCCACGACACAAGTTTACCTCTGTAAAGAACCTGCACATGTACCCCTGAACTTAAAATAAAAGTTAAAAATAATTATAACTCAAAAAAAGGAAAAAAAATTGTGGGGTGTGTGTGTGCATGTGTGTGTGTGTGTGTGTGTGTGTGTGTATAATGGAATATTATTCAGCCTTAAAAAATAAGGAGATACTGTCATTTGGAACAACATGGATGAACCTGGAGGACATTATGCTAAGTGAAATGGGCCAGAAACAGATATAAAAATATTGCATGACTGCACTTATATGTGGGACCAAAAAAAAGTTGAATATATAGAAATAGAGTAGTACAGTAGTTACCATGGGCAGCAGAAAGAGGAGATGGGGAGATGTAGGTTAGAGGGCACAAAGTTGCAGTAATGTAGGATGAAGAAGTCTAGCGAGCTAATGTACAGCATGAGGACTATAGTTAGTAATATTGTATTGTATACTGGAAATTTGCTAACAGACTAGATGTTAGGTATTCTTACTACAAAAAAACTGTAAAATATTAGATATGTTAATTTGCTTCACAATAGTAACAATTGCACTATGTAGATGTATGTCAAAACCTTGTGTTGTATACCTTAAATATATCCAAGAGAAACCACAGGAAAAACATCTCACAATTTTAAAATTATCACAGAAAACTCTCTAACCTCTAAGAATATTCCATACTCCCAGAGGTTGTCAGAACCAGAGGAAACTCTGGCTTAGTGGATTCCTAATGTATCACCCAGAAAGGATATAGGAACCCTAGTACTCTGGTGATGATGTATACACCATGAAGTTATATTGGTGATCTCCTGCCTTTGCACTTGTATCTATCTCAGGCAGGCCCCAAAGGAAAGAAACTAGAACAGGGCTAAGTGAGAAGCTCAGGTGAGGAGGACATTGGTTTGGGGAAGCCAAGCAACAACTGGAGGAGGAAGCAGACATCAGCTCCATCTGCCTAAACCTACTTCCCAGCCATTTCTTAGACACAGCTTCCTTTGTCCTTGTCCCACATCGCTGCCCAGAAGCCTGCTTCTGATGGCATGAGAAGCCACAGCCAAAAGAGTGACTCTCATTGCTTCCTAGAACATCAGGAGCATGGAGGAGGTGACAGGAAGGTTGGGGCCAAAGCACTAGCCAGAAACGGTCAGCTTTCTATCCCTCCTGGGGCCCCAGCTGCTGGGCATAGCCACGGCCCTGGAAACTTGACTCCTCTGACTGAAATCTCCATGTTAATTTCAAATTAGCCTTGGGCCTTAAGCCACTTCATAAACTGCCTCCTCATTTGTTTCCTTCCCCACCACCTCCTCAGGGTTCAGGGCCAAAATTTGGTAGAAGGAGGTGGCGGTAGGCCTATGAAATATGAACCTCAGTTTGGCCTGCTCAATCTGTCTCCAAATAATAAATCTTAATCAAGTCACTGGAGATAATTCCTCCTGCCTTTGCCACAATTCTTTTTCCTCCTCTTCCCCTTTCCTTCAGTCTACTCCCACCTCCCTTTCTGCCTTCTTGGAGTCCCTCCCCTTGGCCTGCCAGCCTTCCCTTCCCCTGCAGGCTTTGCTGGGCCCCATAGGGTGAAGTATTGGAAAAAGCACATGTTTGGGCTACAGAATGAAAGTTAATCCCGGATCTGCCACTAACTAGCTGTAAGATCCAGGACAAGTCACTTCAATCCTCTGAGTCTGTTTCCACTCCTGGAAAATGCGAATAGTCATTCTCCTAATGAAGCTGCCATCATGATTTAATTAAATGAGACAAATGGGAAACTGTCCCTGACACCTAGTAAGGACTTTTAGTCAATACATACATGTGTATCCCCCACCTGCCATAACTATTCCCCAAACCTGGCCCTGTTCCACTGCCGCTGGTCCTGGTGAATGGCACCTGTTGCCAACCAGAAAGTAAAGAATGGTTCCTGACTCATTCCTCCATCTTGTTTTCCAAGTTCAATCCATCACCAAGCAAGTCCTGTCAATTTTACCTCTCTGTTTAGGTCAGATACCAGCTCATAATACCATGTACCTTTGTCACTACTTTGAACGGTCGCAATTTTACATTTATGGGTGTTATTATTCATGTTTATCTCCCCTCTCATCATCATATTCCCAATGCCTAGCACAGTGCCTGTCATGTAGTCAGGGGCTTGATAAACATTGTTGAATAGATGAATGAACTAGGGCTAAGTATTATTTCCATTAACTGGGAAGCCACTCGAGACTCAGAGAAGTTAAATAACATTCCCAGAGTCACACAGATGAACAGCCAAGCCAGGATTTGAACTGATATTTGTCTGATTCCAGAGTTGATGCTTTCCCCCCCAGCTTTATATATAACTGACAAATAAAGATGTATAAATGTAAGGTACAGAACATGATGATTTGATGTACATATACACTTGTCCCTCAGTGTCCATGGGGGATTGGTTCCAGGACTCGTCTTAGATGCCAAAATTCATGACTCCCCATGGATACTAAAATTCATGGATGCCGAAGTCCCTGTTATAAAATGGTGTGGTATTTGCACATAGCCTATGAACATCCTGGTGGATACATTAAATCATCTCTAGATTACTTGTAATACCTAATCCAGCATAAATGCTACATAAATAGTTGTTATACCACACTGTTTAGGAAATAATGACAAGACAAAAAGTCTGTACATGTTTAGTACAGTTGCAACCATATATTTTTAAAATAATATTTAAATCCACATTTGACTGAATCCATAGATAAGGAATCCACAGATAATGAAGGGCTGACTGCATATTGCAAAATGTTTACTATAATCAAATTGGTTAACACATTCATCACCTCACAAAGTTACCTTTTTGTGTGTGGTGAGAGCATTTATGATCTCCTATCTCAGCAACTTTCAAGTGTACAATACAGTATTGTTAACTATCATAATCATGCTGCATATTCAGTTCCCAGAACTTATTCATTTTATAACTGAGATTTTGTACAGTTTGGCAGTGATAAAAATGCTATACCAACAGGATGAGAAATGGTACAGGTATGAAGTAGGGCAGGAGAGCTCTAAAGTAGACTTTTGTATATCTTTGCTTGGGTCCTTCAGTGAAATCCTTGCCCTTTTTTAGGTAAGGGGCTGTGTCGGTGTTTAAGTCAGGGTCAGGATTCTAGTCTGATTGAGATGGGGTCTTCACTCTTTTCCATGTCAATGCCACCTTGACCTGGGTATGGTATAGGTATATACGTGTGTATGGAGGGATCAAAGCAAAGAGACAGGCAGGCCTAGACCTGGTAAAATAGAGCAAGCTATGGATCGATACAGACATGCTGCCCTGAAGCCTGAAGGCAGTAGAGATGGGAGTGGGGGCTAGCACCATCTGGAAGATACACAGACATTCCTCAAGGATCCATGCTCATTTCAAGTAGAAAATGAATGCTGAGAAAAGTGTTGGGGTGTCTGGGGTGGAAATGAAAGACCCCAGTAGGAATAAGTATATTCATTATGGAGAGCTTAGTGTGAGCAAGGCACTGTACTGGATGCTAGCTTAATCTTCACATCAGCCCAGACAAGGAACTAAAGGTCAGAGTGGTTAAGTGAGTTGTTTGAGATTCCACAGCCAGAGGGGATGGCAGAGCTAAGACTTAGACCCAAGTTTGTTTCTACAGGGAAATTTGAAGAAAGAACAGAAGTCAAAGCCCAAGCCAGTTCTGCCCAAGGAAAGCACCAAGCCACAGGACTCCCTTCTCTGATGAACAGCTGGCGGTAGTGTCAAGATGACCTGTTGTGTTCCAGGGATCTTCCACACTGGCTCAGCACCTATCCCTGTGCTACCTTCCCCTCTCACTCTGCCTCTCATCTTCAGCAAGTTCTGGATGCCCTAGTGTCTCAAAATGTTAAGGGTTACTCTCTGGGACTCCCCTCTGTCCTGGTATCTCTAGGGCAGGAAAGTAAAGAAAGTTTAGAAATGCCACCCACAAATCAGAAGAATTTGAATTAAAGATAATTTAGTATCTATTCTAGCACAGCATTCTAATTTGGGCTTATATGGTCTTTAAGGTTATGAAATCGATGTGTACTGGAAATACTTAACTGCTGGCTCTACTACTTACCAACTCTGGGATCTTAGTCAAGTCACTTCCTTTCTCTGATCCTTGGGTTTCTCATCTGTGAATGGAAATCATCATTCCTTCCTTTCAGGGGTATTGGGAAAATAAGAGATAATATGTATAAAACACTCTTGCACTGCTGTGATTCATAACCAGCTGCATCCAGCATAACATCCTGTTTCAGCAGATCTTAATAGTTACTAATCAAATGTTAAAGGGCTTTATTTATTTAGACATTTCATTGTACATACAATTAACAATCTTATTCTTTTCAGGTGCAATCCCTAGTGAGCCTGATGATCAAACTTCTCAGCGATCAGATTCCTGAAAGAGCAGTCTCTCCATGACAAAAGATGGGTTTGGGAATGTGAAAGCACTTTCTGTGAAAGTTCTGCACCTGTGGTAGACTCAGAAACACATACAAGGCTATAAATGTCTTTATGCACTTATTAATTTTCCAATAAACATACTTGACAGTACACCTAATAGGGAAGTTCTGTGATTAATTTTTCAAACAATAAGAAAATAAACGATCAGAAAGGCTTACAGTCTCATACCTACAATCTGTCAGTATCAACATTTATAAATTAAAAGGCTTTGTTTTCTCATGATCACTGGATGCTTGGCACACATATTGGCTGAAAAAACAGAAAAAAACCTCATTATTCAACCTAGTTAAATATTAGAGACCACATTTAAATGTTTTAATTTTTAATTTTTGTGGGTGTACGTATTTATGGGGTACATGAGATGTTGTGATACAGGCATGCAATGTGAAATAAGCACACATCATGGAGAATGAGGTATTCCATCCCCTCAAGCGTTTATCCTTTGAGTTACAAACAATCCAATTACACTATTTCCATTATTTTAAAATGTACAATTAATATTGACTATAGTCACCCTGTTGTGCAATGCAATAGTAGGTCTTATTGATTCTTTCTATTTTTTTGTACTTATTAACCATCCCCACCTCCCGTTACCCTCTCACTACCCTTCCCAGCCTCTGATAACCATCCTTCTACTCTTTCCATGAATTCCATTGTTTTTGATTTTTAGATCCCACAAATAAGTGAGAACATGTGATGTTTGTCTTTCTGTGCTTGGCTTATTTCACTTAACATTATGATCTCCAGTTCTATCCATGTTGTTGCAAATGATAAGATCTCAATTTTTTATGGCTGAATAGTACTTTATTGTGTATACGTGCCACATTTTCTTTATCCATTCATCTGTTGGTGGACACTTAGGTTCTTCCAAATATTAGCTATTGTAAACAGTGCTACAACAAACATAGGAGTGCAGATATCTCTTCAACATACTGGTTTCCTTTCTTTTGGGTGTACACCCAGCAGTGAAATTGCTGAATCATATGGTCGTTCTATGCTTAGTTTTCTGAGGAACCTCCAAACTGTTCTACATAGTGGTTGTGCTAATTTTCATTCCCACCAAAGTGTACAAAGGTTCCGTTTTCTCCACATCCTCGTCAGCATTTGTTATTGCCTGTCTTTTGGATATAAGCCATCTTAACTGGGGTGAGATGATATCTCATTGTAGTTTTGATTTTAATTGCTCCAGTGATCAATGATGCTGAGCAGTGGTACGATCTTGGCTCACTGCAACCTCTGCCTCCCAGGTTCATGTGATTCTCCTGCCTCAGCCTCTCAAGTAGCTGGGTTCACAGGCACCTGCCACCATGGCAGGCTAATTTTTGTATTTTTAGTAGAGATACGGTTTCACCATGTTGGCGAGGCTGGTCTCGAACTCCTGACCTCAAGTGATCTGCTTGCCTCGTCTTCCCAAAGTGCTGGGATTACAGGCGTGAGCCACCACACCCAGCTGATATTGAGCAACTTTTCATATACCTGTTTGCCACTACACACCACTAGTTTGAGGGATGTAGCCACTGTAGCTGAACATGATAAATAAGAATGGACTCACAGAAAGACACACAAGTGAATGGTAGCACCAGAGCCACCATATACATTACTCACCACTCCAGGGGCACCATTTATATATACTGTGAAATGAAATGACATACTCTGGATTTATGCAGTGTGGTGGTCTTGTGCAGAACAATGGGGGAAAAGGGAAGATAAACAGAGAGAAAATACATTCTCTAGACTATGTGGCTTGTTTGGGCTGGCCAGGGTCTAGCCTGACCATCCAGACCACTCCATGGGTCTGCTCAGTGGGTGGAGTTATCTTTTTGTTATCTGTGCAGTTATAAGTTTTTCCAGTTTGTCAGTGTGTCTAGAGCAGACTATTTGTCCAGCAGTCCCAGCCATTGGCCTTACCTCTGGATCTCTCCTGTACCTTTCCTAGGCCTGTATGATGTTTCTCCAGCTGGGTGTACAACCTGAGAGTGGTCATGGTTGTCCCTGGAGCAGAGAAAGTTTCAGGGTGTCTCAACAATTCTTTCTGGAACTTAGGCTCCTTCGGCCTTAGCAATGTCCCTTTGGCCTGGCCCCTTAATGGAACTGTCTCCAGTGGGAGGCAGGATGTAGCCAGCTTTGGAAAGAAGCCCAGCCTACTCCAGCATGTACTCTGGGTGAGCTGGGCAAAAGGGCTCCCCCTCCCATAACCACAGTTTCCCTGCAAACCAGCCTTTCACCTCAATACAGCTCTGCCTGCTACATGACCTCTGTGGACCCAATATCTGCCCTATCTAACCTTCAGGCCTTTGTATAGAAAGACACCTGCACATGTATGTTTATTGCAACCTAATTCACAATTGCAAAGATATGGAACCAACATAAGTGCTCATCAACCACTGAGTGGATAAAGAAAATGTGGTATATATACACCATGGAATACTACTCAGCCTTAAAAAGGAACAAAAATAATATCTTTTGCAGCAACTTGGATGGAGCTGGAGGCCATTATTTTAAGTGAAGTAACTCAGGAATAGAAAGCCAAATACTGCATGTTCTCACTTATAAGTGGGAGCTAAGCTGTGGATACATAAGGCCACACAGAGTGGTATAATGGACTTTGGAGACTCAGAAGGAGGAGAGTGGGGGAGGATTAAAAAACCACATATTGGGTACAATGTACATTACTCAGGTGATGAGTAAACTAAAATCTCACAATTCACCATTATATAACTAATTCATGCAAACAAAAACCACTTGTGCCACAAAAGCTATTGAAATAAAAACAAATTTTTAAAAAGAAAGATCACATAGGCCAGTTATGAGACAGTCATGAGTAAGCAGGGTTCTGGAGTCAGACACTCTGGATTCAAGCAACTCCTTTGTCACCTACTCAGTTGCTTCATTTTTCTAAGTCTTGATTTTCTTGTCTATAAAATGAAGTAAAAGTAGTATGTATTTTGTAGGATTGCTGGTAATATTAGAAGACACAATTAATGTAACCAAATTAATTTAGTCAAATTAGTTTAGACATAGCTAATGTAATAATTAGTATAACCATGGGCAAATTACTTAGCTTCTCTCTGCCTCAGTTTCCTTATCTCTAAGGTGGGAAAATAGTAGTGTCTACCTCATATATAGGAATGTTATGAGAATTAAATAAATTGAAATTTGCAAAGCACTATAGAAAGACTGGCACAGAGTGTTTGTTAAATAAGCAAGTGTCAGGTGCCTCCTCAATCATTCCACATATATCTATCAATTACCTACTGTGTGCCAGTCATCTTTCTAGTCAGAAAGGATGTAGAAATGAGTAAAATCAACAAGATTCCCTACAGAGTCTAGTGGGGGAAGACAAACAATAAATAGGCCAGCAATAAAATAAATAAGACAAATATTAAAGTAAGGATTTTCAGGAAGGAAATGAAACAAGGTAATAGGAAAGAGAGTAATGGGGGAAAAGGTACAGGACACCATTCCATAAGCTGGTGTCTTAGTCCATTTAGTGTTACTGTACCAGAATACCTTAGATTGGGTAATTTATAAAGAAAAGAGATTCAGTTATCTCACAGTTCTGCAGGTTGGGTAGTTCAAGGGCATGACCCTGGCTTCTGGCAATAACTTGCATGCTGCATCATAACATGGTTGAGAAGGTCAAGGTGGAAGCAGACATGAGAGGGAAAACCCGAGGGGCATCCAGGCTTTACAACAATCCACTCTTGGGAGAACTAATCCATTCCTGTGGGAACTAATACAGTCTTACAAGAGCAAGAACTCACTCACTACTGTGAGAACAACACTAAGGCATTCATGAGAGATCTGCCCCCATGACCCACACGCCTTCCAGTAGACCCCACCTCTCAACTCGGCCTCTTTGGGTATCAAATTTCAACATGAGTTTTGCTGGGGACAAACAATCCATAACCATAGCAGGTAGTCAGGGAAGGCCTTTATGAGGAGGTGACATTTAGCTAACACCCAGGTACAAAACCAGGGACAGATATTGGGAGATAGTCTTCTGGGCAGAGGAAAGAGATAGTGCAAAGGTCCTTATTGTATGGTTGGAATAGTGTAAGGGAGAAACTAGTGGGTGATGAAGGCAAAGAGGGAGACAGAGGCCTGATCATGCAAGGCCCTGGGGTTCATGTAAGGAGTTTAAGTTTTATTGTAGCTGGATCAGGGAACCAATTTCATAGACCAACCACTCGTTTTATATTTGGGGGAACTGAGGCCCAGCGAGGGGAAGCAATGGTTCAAGATCACACAAAGAATTGGTAGCAAAACTAGGATTATTACTGGGCTTCCCTCATTCTCCAGCATCTTGCACTTTATTCTCAGACATGTCATGTCATATCATATTATATCAGATAACATTGCAAATTGACTGAATGCAGTTTCTACGAATGAAACTGATTACCTGAAAATGCATTTCAGGTCATTTATCCAGCAATTCCTATCCTGCACATGCTAGTGCTCAGCCTCATGCCAGCCAGACATTGGTAAGTGCCACAGAGTTTCTGCACAGAGAGGCACTGAAAGTGGCCAGCCTGATCAGCCCTTCGCCTTCCAGCCACCTGAGAAGGAGCATTTTTGCATTAGCGTAGGAGTCTCATAGGAGGAACCTGGAAGCAATTCCTGCACACAAACAAGAAGATAAAGTATCTGTCCTCTGGAGGTCATTTTGACATGGGGAATTAGGCTGAAGCCCTGTGTGTTCATTTCTTTCTCAAGAAGAAACACATTTATTTGTAAGGAAATGCCATCTCAGATGGTACAGTACAGCTTTAGCCAAAGAAGGGCATCACGGTCCAGCATTAGCCAAAAAATAGCATCAGCTTAGCAGCCTGGACTGCTCGTTCCTTCAGGTTACTGTGGCCATATCCTTGCGGGCCATAAGAGAGAAATGCTCTATTTTTATAATGCTCCACTAGTTAAATCAAGCCCGTCCAAGACATTCTGTCATTCCCTTTCCTGAGCTTATATAATCTGGCTTTTTCAAAGAAATTCTGACAAATACTTATTTATAACAAAAAGTAAATAAGTTTAGAGTGCATGAGGGGTAGGAATGATTTCGCTTACAAAATATTGCTATATGATGTGTTTTCTGATTATTTAAATAATATATTTACTTTGTAAACCATTATGAAATTAAAGGACTGTAAAGAAGAAATTTAAAATCACCTATAACTACACAACCCAGCGACAATAATTTGTAGTTTTTAATTGTCCTTTTCTTATGTACAGAAAACATTAAATAATTAAGATTATATTGTATATACAAATGTGT